GGGGGGGCGCACTCCCATACTAAACAGTGGTACGCGAAAAGTAGGGCAAAAGCAAGTAGCAACAAGATGCCGACCGGAGCGGACAGCGCTCATCTAACGCTCTACTGCGGTGCCACTCGTGGTCGAGTGTGGGATTCTAGTAAACCCTCGTTAGTCCCAAATGTGTTCACATACATCCGATACATGCCGAACACAGTGGAGATAGCCACAGGATGCGTATCAGACACCTTCTGCAAAGCGCAATGTTCGTTGGCGATCGTTATGAAAGTTGCCCACGAGATGGCGCAGTACCCGTTGATACAGTGTCTTCAGATTAAGATGGAAGCTCCCACTACCGTACGTAGTAGCCACCAAACTATTTGCAAGGGACAGAATAGTAAGCAACTCAGCCATTTACCTTACACAAGCCTACAGGCTGCAATTAGAGAGGCTTGCCACCGTGAACCATATTAACGCAGCAAAAAACTACACAGTAACCACCACCACATGCACTGACTAGCACTGCGCATGCGCAGTGGCATACGTTACATGATACATACTGACAGCTACCGATTGCCCATAGAAATTATCACGAATTTAAGGAGCATAAACCTACTTTCACCCAAATTAGCTTTTGAAAGTTTCACTGTGAGCATTTGTAGCCCTCATACATCCAGGCAGTGTATAGATTTCTACTAGCAAACCCGGCCAGCTCCAAATTCATTTCCTACACAGACAGTAACACAGAATCCATGTTTAACCCCTCTCTTTGAGGGTCAAAAGGTTATCCGACACTTACTCTTCGCATGTCAGCAGAAGGTACATTTCATGGTCCTTTCAATACAGCCATAAAAATGCTAGGTCACCGCTGAAACAAAAAAGTTTTTCAATCGCTCCGTCAGACCATGTCCTCAGAAAATGTCTAAAATCTGCCCTGTGCCCATTGACCTTTGACCTGTGACCTCCAATTTCGGCACAGTGATGGCTTTTCCTACCATGATGCTATACACCGACTATCACGAGCCTAGGTCGAGCCGTTTAGATTTGTGCCGCAATTCTGCATTTCCTCCCTATACCTTAAGTTAAGGAGTGAATGTTCCCCTTCTTTTACACCTCTTGACCTTTGACCTTTGACCCCCAGCTTCGACATCCCAACTCGTTTTCGGATTACCCCCCCACGTCCCGAATATCGTGACCGTACGTCGAGCCGTTTAGATTTGTGCCCAACTGTTGACGGACGGACGGACGGACGGACGCTCGCACAGACGGACGATCATGCGATTCTACAAGCTGCATCTGACTATGTCAGATGAGCTAAAAATTGGGGTACGTCGTACATAACTTTGTAACCTCGCCACCTGTGTAGAAAGTACCATCAACCATTTACTTGCTTCAAAACAACCGTTTTAAGTTAGTAGAAGAGAGGCAATTTCATTTATTTGCGAAGCACAGTACAAATGCACAGAAAGTACAATGCTAAAAATATGATTACGTAAACGACGTTACATTCAAGAACAGTGACTACGTCAAATGTGATTTGGACAACCATGAAAAAAACCTTTAAATTTTGCCAGTGGCTAAACAGCCTGCAAAAACAAATATGGACGTCTAACAATAGTTTACACGTTTTCTTACACTGGCCTTATAACTTGCGTTATTCTATAATGTCAAGAGCATACAAACCCTTATATGAAGGATTTATATGCTCTTGATAATATGGATCATGTGCATAAACATCCACCAGTTGACGCGCGAAATGAAACCTGCCCGTAGCAAAACACTGCTTTACGCTGAAAAATTACACATAAACCGACAATATAACCGACAAACCGGCTACCGTAATTATTTAATTTATTCAATACAAGAAATACTAAATTCACTAGCTCTCCAGCTACAGAGTGATATCCCCTTTACCACAAGAACGTGTGAATGTCACAATAACATTTCTTAGGTTTTTACGTGTGAGGTCAGTACTGGCGTCGCAAAAGCAACGATTATCTACATGTTAGAGAATCGATGTATAGTCACAATGCCTTTTAATAACACTATTAAGGAATGCATGTTGCATCCACATCACTGACTACCAAGTGCCTCTGCTTACTTTTTTTATTGAGGCTATATATATATATAGATAGATATTTATTTATATATATATCATACTAAGCGACTATGTTTTACCACATACCTACACAGAACGTGTCAGAACGTATGGATTTCTAATAGCTAGCTAATTTCAATCATATGATATGTCATATACACTCACATTAATTAGTAATATAATTGGGCCATGTCTTGCATTTTAACTAGGAAAGGGTGCACGCTGCAATATTTGTTAGAAAGGAGATTTAAAGACTTAAAATTCACAACACCAGGTTTCAAATATACCAAGAGACACGTTTTGAGAAAAGCTACAAGTTTGACATGCTATTGGTGTAACGAATTTTATAGCAATTTTGAGGGAAATTGCATAACATTGGCTTCACACAATACTCCAGATCCAGCTGAATACAGCACAGTACATTCGTTTTAAGCCACATAGCAAGGCCATTTGAAAGCAGTACCGATGACACCTCATACCCATATCGATTCAACAATGCAGCAGGACAGGAAATTCTAGAGATTAAGATTGTGCCCTATTGCTTCTAACCTTTCCAGTTATGCCACGCACAAATTAATGACCTACTCAGTACCCACAAGCTCATAGCTAAAACACCTCTTTCCATAACCAGCTTCCTTCATTTTTAGCATAATCTCCCTTTGCTCCAGTGGAAACCCCAGTCAGCAGTTTTTTTTTGCGATCTCATCAAATTGCAATTTGGTTAGAGGTAAAAATGAGCCAGAACACTGTTAATTAAATACCAAGCTCAGTGATTGTTTACTTAAAGTTCTAACGCACTGCATCAATTAAGAGTCAAAGTGCTGTGGTACCTGTACCATTCATCCCAACTGCATGGACAATGGAAACATTTCAATAGATCAAAACAGATTACATGAAACAATAACATGAATAAGGGGATACACTCAAGCTTTTATACAAAATTTTATCAATTTTTCATTTTCATTTTTATTTGATGGCTAACACTAGATGCTACCTCTGTACATACTAATGTCTCCATGGATATAGCTATGCAAGTAAACATTCAGAGTTTTGATTGCCCACGTACATGTGTAGTGAGCCATGGCTGATATCACTGAAGACATCAGACATGATACAACTAGCCTTTTCACGGTATTCACTATGCCAGTATCCATCAGCATCAACCCCTTCTACAGCTGTCACCTGCCAGTGATAATTGAAATTGCCACGCGGTTGCAAATAGCATTTACACTTCGTTACATATCGAAACTTACAGAAAAATCCTGAGGTGCTTTTTTGGTTCATACTGTTCTTAATTGTGTCAAAAGTCTTACTTTCTCACTCTTTGTGGTAATTGAGAAATATCCAAAATACCATTTTTACATGAAAAACCAAAATTTGTGTTGTCAACTTGTCACACAATTAGGTGCAGGAAATTTCATGAATTTTTTGGCTCGAGTATAGAATTACACCTCATCTATGAATAAAACGTGTGATCGATTCAATTCATTCGTCAATAAACGTTTACTCTTCATTAGAGCAATACCCGTGTAAAAGCTTGAGTGTATCTGTAAGTCCCCCATCAGAAGACCTACAATAAATCTAAGCATCTTAAAAATTACTGGTTATTTCTATGACCTTGATATTATGTAGAATTACCCGATATTACATATGAGCCACCATAACCATTCAAAGTTCATCATGTCATAAGGAGACATAACTTTTACAAACCTTATGCAGATTTTTGTCTATTCCTAATAACGTAAATCTCTTTCATACTAGCTGCACTAACATTCAAAAACATTGACTTCAATAAAAACACCACTTGTGTTATTACGCCTGAAATGATTAAAACGTCACTTAATGCATTTACATCTGCACTTAGTGCGTACATGGAAATTCAAAAACAATACCTTACATTACTTTCAATTCTCTTGTCTCCAACATGCCAGCAAAGGGATTGTGTTAACGCTACAGGCATGCATAGAAGGCTAGTAATGTGTTTTAAGACAAATCAATCTGTATTCACAGGTTTCCACTGCTATAAATAACTAAACTGTATGTATACCCATGGATCTTTGGGCTAATTCAATTTTACAGGATCATAGACCTCAAGTTGCAACATGAACAAACACTTCCAAGTACATTTCAAACATGACATAGGCTGTAATATTCTAGTTCCACAAACAATAACTAAACGTAAAATTCTCATCATCATGATTTTCCTTCGAGAAAAAAACTAAAATTAACTATCAATATTCATGAAAAAGTATTCAATATCTAAAAAGAGGCTATAACCATCAATGTTACTGTATGTTTTAAACGAACTATGCACAAACCTTAAAGACATACTAGGCCCATTGATTATGCAATGTTGACGAATGCTAGAGTAACTGGCACCTTGTGTACATAACCTTACATCCAAACGCGTATTAGTTTGTCCAATATCACTGCTGGTTACTAAGAAATGTATAATTGAAATCCGCAGTCCAAGAAATCAGTTGTGTACAGTTTCAAACCGCTGCCGGCAAAGAGGGTGTGATACAGATTTATAGCTACTGGACATTTTCGCACGCATGCTCGGCCATACGCAATGCTACCATCAGTGATTTCGTAAACACGGACGCTCGTGATAAGGAATGATTAATGATAAATATGATAAGGAACTTTTTGTCAGGGCTGTCCATGCACGTCCGTGATTAGTACGCGTGTTTTACTCCATTTCCATGTTTACTCCGTGGGCGTGATTACACCGCTGACACCTCCATTTCATCTGGCGTCCAAAACATATGGGCCGCACAAATGTTTACGTTATTGCTCGACTCCTGGATGACATTTACGGCTCGTAAATGAATATCAACAACTGATTTCAAGTCTTGCTTGTAATGTAACCAGCGGTGATATTGGACAAACTAATACGCGTTTGGCTATAAGGTTATGTACTTATTAACTATACAAGGTGCCAGTTACTCTAGCATTCGTCAACATTGCATAATCAATGGGCCTAGTATGCCTTTTAAACAATGATTTCACTCTGAATGTGGTTCACATGCTTCAGGTAAAGTTAATGGTACATTATCTCACGAGTCACAGTGTAGTTTCTTCCTGCTAAACTTCGCAACCAGTCGTTTAACTATTTCTGTCTCAACAGTATTCACATTGCTGTGCCTAAAGTTTTTGGCAGTACATGTATAATTTCACATAGGGTGCTTCTGCTGAGATTTAGTTCCTTAGATGATGGAATTGTACTTATACTGTTTTTCACCAGTGTGTGTCTTTACATGCCTTTTCATGTTCCCTTTATTTGCAAATGCCGAGTTGCAAACATTACACCTATGAGGCTTCTCTCCTGTATGAGTCCTCATATGGGACTTTAGTTGCGACTTTTCACGGAAACCAACGTTGCAGAGTGCACAGACGTGGGGCTTCTTTTCAGAGTGGGTTCTCTTGTGCCTCATCATGTTGCACAAGCGAGCAAAGCCTGCGCTACACAGATCGCACCTGTAAGGTTTCTCACCCGTGTGAGTAGTCATGTGCGACTTCAGCTGTGATCGTTGGCAGAACGTCATTGTGCAATGCTCGCACTTGTGTGGCTTCTCGCCTGTGTGAATAACAATGTGCTTCTTCAGGCTGGAGCTAAATGGAAAGGCAGCAGAACAAATACTACAGCGCCATGGCTTTTCACCACTGTGAGTTTTCTGGTGATCTTTCAAGGCAGCTTTTGAAGGAAGGCTCGCAGCGCACCGGTTGCACTTGTACGTCTTTCCTTGCGTTGGCTGACTTGGTTGACTTGGTTGACTTGGTTGACTTGGCGGAGTTGGTTGTTGAGTTGGTTGTTGTGTACTCTGAGGTCTCATGACTTGTTCTTTTACATTTGTTCTCACAGCAAAAGCTGCAGCGCATAAATCACACTGGCATGGCTTTTCTCCCGTGTGAGTTAAAATGTGATCCTTTAAGTTGGTACTCAAAGGAAAAGCTGCAGCACACATATTACACTGCCATTGCAGATCTGCCGTGTGTGCTATCATGTGCATGGCAGTGTCTCGGTGAGGAAATGCCGCATCTGACATGTTGTGCTGAACTGGGATGTTTTCTAGTAGTTTATCGACTTGGCACTAATCACCATGGATGTACTGGGCGAACTTTGTGATTGATAAAACACCCTATGCACGAAGCATGACTGAATTATCATCAAGTATTTGAAGTAGTACTGTCCAATGATGGTAAACGTTAACCTTCGCACGGCGAAACTAACACATGGTTAGCCGTCTTGCAGCCGTTCCAATAGAAGTTGATTCCAAGTAAATTATAATGTAAATGGTACAGAGTATTCGGCAGCAGATTATACTATTTAAAATCCAGTTCAGGCTTACACATATGCTGCGATTGTTCTCGTTTTCGACGTTGCTTCCTTTCGTGATGAAAACGAATATTGTACACTACATTGATTCGACGACGATGAACTGGTACATCATATGATATATCAAAATCCTTTCTCACCGCAACATAAACTCCCTCCTTCTACAAGAACTAAAACCTTGTCTAGTATAAGTAAACAAACCCTAACAGTAACACAACCGAATTCTCAAAATGGCGGCCACAGAACGAAATTTGCGAACGACAGCACTTCGCTGTGCTTCGTCCTTTCCCGTTAGCCGGAAAAAGCCGAGGACAAAGGCGCGTCATAGTATCGAATAGTATCGTGCCTTTTCACGGTTTCTGACCACTGATCAACTTGTGACATACAACAGTTACTTTCCGCAGATTGTTCACCGAAAGGCTATTTCGTCCCTGGAAGATGCCTTCTTCGGAATTTTTTTGCTGTGAAATTCGGAATTAGAGTGCACTAATTTGCATTATGCATGCAAGGTAGATATTTCGTGGACTCCTATAAGGCATTAGAAGCAGAGAAGTGAGGACAAAGACACGTCATAGTATCGAATAGTATCGTAGCTTTGCATGGTTTCTGACCTCTGATCTCTATACAGGCGGCATACAACACACTGTACACAAGATAGATGCCTTGTGGACGTCTAGAGGTGTTGCTATACAGTAGACGCCGTCCATAGGCTGCAGGCCTGAATAAGCATCGAACAGATATTAATTAAAAATACTCACACTGTTACTGCACTTACAAAACATACACTTTATTCATGTTAAATAACTACAGATTCATGCTCTATGCTCCCCTCGAAACTTTTGCCAGCTCTATGATGCGAATTTCTGCAAAGTTGTCTGAACACATTTCATACACAAAAACCACCAACCGGTCGCTCTGACTACGCCACCTGACGGAATCTCACGAATACAAAACAAAAATAATTTTACTTCTATTGCTTTCTCCACGTCCACGAGGCATCCAACTTGCGTGCATAATGCTAATTATTGCACTCTAGTGCCGAATTTCGGCGGAAAAAAAAGCCAAAAAAGGCCTTTTCTAGAGACGAAGTAGTGCAACGGTGAACAATCGCGGACGCTTACTGTTATACGCCTCCTAGAAGGCATTAGAAATGAGATTGGGTTTGTCCTGTAATTGTGCCATTGAGTCAAGTAGTGTAGCCATGGTGACCGGTTGGCTATTTTTGTGTTTGTAACGGGATCCAACGACATGATGAAAATTCTTGCAAAACAATCTTGCAAATGTTTTGAGTGAAGATCAGTCTTCGAATCTGTAGTAATTTAGCATGAATAAAGTGTATGGCGTGTATGCAACGAAACTCTCTGCGCATTTTCAATTAATTTCTGTTCGATTTTAACAAATCAATGCCTACCAAGATGATTAATCTGTGCTTGGAGTAAATCTGCCGAATCGCAATGACTTATAGCTTTATCAAATAACACTGACTACTAACGAATATTTTATAAAAGACTACTCACATTGTAAACACTAAAAATACCTTCGATTTTATTTAAACATTCCAGACATGAAATTAGATGTGAGAGAACATGCTTTTATCAGCATTACAGAATGAGATATACGATGTGGTACCTGGCTTATATAGAGCAAGCTGACAATTTCTACTACCATGTGGCACCGTTCTTGTGATTATACACAATTGTAGTCGTTGTACAACAATAGAGGGCGTCTATGTGTAGCCAGCCCTAGCCAGCCTGAAGAAACATCACACAACACTTCATTGAAAATATACAAAGAAATTTGGCGCAAACCCAACATACACTTCATTCATGTAAAATAACCACGGATTCAAGGTTCTGACTCCGCTCAAAACTTCTGCCAGCTACGCTTAGAGCATTTCCAGCATTTAGACGAACCCATGGTTTCACCTATGGTTTCACACACAAAAACAACAGACCGGTCAATAGTGGTGGCTACGTTACTTCACAGAATAGCACGATTTTTCGACAAGGCCAAACAATTACCTTTCATGCTTTCCAGACGTATATCGGGCATCTACCTCGCGTGTATAATGTAAATTAATGCACTCCGTTGCCGAATTTTACAACCACAAATCTAAAAAGGCCTTTTACAATGGCAAAATAGTGAAATGCTGTTTAATTGGCAAAAGGCTACTGATACATGCTTATTATAATATAGGATATTATTGAAAAACAATTTTACTGTTACATCTTTCCTATTTTTTTATGCTACGACACCACATTAGTGGTTACAAGTATTTATACAAATCAAGTGTACCAAAGAAACTCAACTCGTAAAAATGAATGTTATTTTAACGTTGTGGCCCCACAACTGCACGCACTGGTTGGGTTTTAACCTGATCGTTCAGTGGCAGGTGGTGGCTCTTGCTCGGATCCTGGTTGCAGTAGTTTGTCTTGCTGCTCTATAGGCAGTTTATTGACCAGTTCACCGGCTGAACCCTCTAGCCTCTTCCTACAACTGTCGATAGAAAACTCCGGTATCATGAATTGCCATAAGGTGACTGGGGACGATCTGCGTACCACCTTAACTGGTGCCTATTCTTGTGGTACCATTATCGCCTCCGTCGGTTTTTACAACATAATCCCGTCCAAATTTATCAAATTCGCTTGCAATATGACATTTACCATTTTTTCACGGGGATCACGCTGCATTCGTACCACACTGCCGGGTATTAATTCCGATAACTCCATTTCAGTTCTATTGTAGTACTCAGCCACCTTGTGTTATTGCAGAATTATCTTGTCCGTGTTATCGTTAAGTGACAAACTCCTGATGTTAAATAACGCCGCACTTAACAATGTCTTCATACATCAACCAAAAATTATTTGAGATGGCGAGGATCCAACTCCCTGCGTAGGTGTGTTTCTGAATACTAGCTTTTACAGGCAATGATTAGATCTTAACAAAAATATTTACGAAAACAGTTTAAGATAACTAATATGATCAGCCATAATCGGGTACCTATCATGATCTCTGAGAAACCCCAAAGATTGACAAATCAGGATTTTTTTTAATCAGAGCAATTTATCACTGCATTGCAATGATCATTTTAGTTGACCGCTCTTTTCACTAAGGGCAGCACCATCGAACAGTTGAACAAGCAGGAAATACGTGGGGGCACATTTCTTCTCTATAACAGAGGAGTTTTTTCTATCTTTGTGGCAATATTTGTTATTAGAGTGCAGAAACTGCATTTCACACGCGAGATAGATAGCTGATAGACGTTTGGAAAACATTTAAGCTAAATTGATTTTGTGGGAAAATTATGCAAATATGTCAAATAGCGTAGCCATGGTGACCGGGTTGCCGCGTTTGTGAGTAAAAGGGTATCCGACCTTCCTACCCACCTACCCCTATATACTAACCTTTATGTATTGAGAGATCAGTGTATCCGACAAGCATGCTGGAAAATCTCAAAAACAATTTGGTAAAAGTTTTGAGTAAAGATTGGACTTTAAATCTGTGGTCATTGAATATGTGTGTCGCGTATGGACCAAAACTATCTAAGTATTTTTAATTAATATAATTTAATTTAATTTAATTAATTTTCAAGTGTTTTAATTTGGTCATGTATTGTGCTCTTTCAGGCTTGCTGACTATAGACACTCCATGGTTGGAAACACATGTAGGTGTAACATGTCTGAACTTTTAAATTAAAGCACTTCGTTTCATAGCTCATATTATTTGCTTTTTGTGACCGTTTCTGGTAATTGTGTATGCTAATAAACACTATATATATATAATTAAATGCAAAAGTCATATGTTAATCTCGGTGTTAAAATAATAATTTGATGGTAAACTTTTAAATTTATTTTTCTGTATTGTAATTTTTTATCATCGCAGTAGTAAACTACTTAAAGTGATGATGCTAATTTAAACAGGCAATGAGGAAATATAGTCACTTCTCTCATTTGTTTATTGATAACAGTCATTTGCTTACAATTTGATTAAATGTATTACTTACTACATCGGGACTTAAAAACAATGGCATTTAGATCACAAAGTTGCTGGAGAAATCCATCATTAGGGTTTATCTCTCTGTATCTCCTGACATTGCGAACTGCCTCTTGCACAGTCATATTCTTTCTAAGTATAAGAAAAGCTAAAACAACTGTCGCGGATCGGCTTATCCCTTCCCTGCAATGTACTAAGACCTTACCTGAAACAACAAGAAATTTTCAAGAAATATTATCTATCACCGAACACACGAATCTGATTATTCACCAGGTAAATGTGTTTATGTCAAAGACCCTGTATATATATATATATGGTCTTTGTTTATACTAACGTGAAAATCTAGTCTGATCATGCGCACTGACCCTCACGTAGTCCTTCTTCAATAAAAGTGGCAGCTGTCTGGAAGTGTATCGTCATATCACACGACATCATGTCTGTAGCTTCGATACCTAAGAACCGAATAGCAGTTCCAACATAGAACGCTGCATTCGTGTTCACGTGGAATTCTGTTTCACCTTGTCCTGCATTGATGACATGTGTTATCCCGATTCTGCGAAGAGTTGCTTTTCGATGAGCAATTTCTCTATGGATAACAGCGAAAATTATAGTTATAACATAATTTCACAATGTATTCGTCTGTCTGCTCGTTCTCTCTCTCTCTCTCTCTCTCTCTCTCTCTCTCTCTCCTCTCTCTCTCTCTCCCTCTCTTTTCTCTCTCTCTCTCTCTCTCTCTCTCTGCTCTCTCTCTCTTCTCTCTCTCTCTCCCTCCAAGCACACACACACACACACACACACACACACACACACACACACACACACACACACACACACACACACTCACAACACACACACACACACAACACACACACACACACACACACACACACACACACACACACACACACTCACACACACACACACACACACAACACACCCACACACACACACACACACACACACACACACACACACACACACACACACTATGTCGGCGCACGCGTGTGCGAGTGCGTGCGAATATATATATATATATATATATACACATAAATAACATCCAAATCAAATTACGCTCAATGACGTATGCATATACAGTACTTACTCGTCCCCGATGAAGAGGTTCAGGTACACTTCATCGTACGATGTCGTTGGGTACACAACTACTCCACCAGTTGGTGCAGTTAAAATGGCCTTCAGTTCGCGTAGAGTGCATGGCCCTGCAACCGTTTCTGTCGCCATAGCACCGAGCCGATTCCCGAACAAAATCGCATATCACGAGCGTCACTTCATGCTAACAGCTAATATATTCAAATGATGCGTGCGAAACATCAACCTTTAATCAATCTGTTGATCTACGTAATACATTTTCATGCTGTTAGCGACATTGTACGTAAAAGTACAAGTGAGCTGTGTAAAGCATCCGTAGAGTGGCTATTTTTAGTCGACTGAAACCCGCATGTGGGCTCTATAGCAGCATCGCTAACGGTAAACCCTGCACGAAGCTAGAGCTAGCACCAAGGCGAAATATGTTGCATGTAATCGATGTTGATTCACTTCTGATCACAACTAGGTATATATATTAACTGAGCCTGGCTGCCTGGGGCGTAAACCCCACGAAAAACAATTTAAAACGGCATATAGTGCATTAGATTAGACCGTATCAAATAGAGAGGTATAGGCAGAACGGGCCCCAATATAACTTTTTGGAATGAATATAGACATGCACTCCTAGCGCTACTAGAATTTGTTTATTAATTAATTATTCTATTTATATAGGTAATTATCCATATATACATACTATTACATTAAATTTTACGCAGTGGCTATATACGCGTCCGGAACCGGTCGCCTAGCCTCCAGGCTACGCATCCGGACATCCACTCACACAGTGATCGCGTGACTCGCGTACACGCATGATTGCGCAACGGGACGCTCTGCTGATTGCCGAAAATATACAAATATGCACTGCTGCCGTCTATCTTTTCATCCGTCCTCTCTCGCTCTCTCTCTCTCTCTCTCAATCTCTCACACACACGCACAGCTCTGTCTCTCTCTCTCTCTCTCTCTCTCTCTCTCTCTCTCACAAACACACACGCACAACTCTCTCTATTTCTCTCACACACACACAGACACACACCTCTAGCTCTCTCTCTCTCTCTCTCTCTCTCTCTCTCTCTCTCTCTCTCTCTCTCTCTCTCTCT